GGAAGGGAGATTATCTGATAAAATTTTATAATATTTTGAAGGAAGAGATTTGTAATAGAGATAAACAATACGCATTTTTATATGCTTGAAACTCTCAAAGGATAAAAAATATTATAAGAGAAACTATATAAACTTATATGCTTCCAATTGTGTGCCTCCCAAATACATCTGGGACATTCAAACTGTATTGAAATACATTGCTAAATGACCTTTAAATCAGGTCTCAATCTTAATATGACTGTTCTAAACTCAATTGTACATGGACAGTCCTCAATAGTAGCCCAACACAAATCCCTTTGGGACTAAGAAAATGGTTATAAAATACATATAAAATGGCAATAAATATATCGTTAAGGAACCATCAAAGAGAAAGGTTTATACAAACAGGAATGCATACATGAGGAATTAAATTACCACTGGGCCTCTGGCATTCAACTTGATACTGGGATGGAGTACAAAGAATAACATGAAAGTGTGTCAGGATAGATGTACAAGAAAGAGCATACATGTAGCATGAATAATAAAAATTCTGGGCCAGAAATTAGGGCTCAACCAAAAAACCAGAAAAGCAAGGCAGTTAAGCCACTAGAGAAATCTTACCTCTACCAAGCCTGAGCAACCAAAGACTAAGCAACCAGCCTCACTTTCCTCTATTTTATATTTCCTCAAGTGCTGGAATTAAACACATGACTCCCTAGTACTTGGATTAAAGGTGTAGGCCACAACCACGTGGATTGGTGTCTGCAATGATCTCCCCCTCCCCCAATCAAGTCCCCCTCCCTCATCAGCCCAAAGAGCAATCAGGGTTCCCTGCCCTGTGGGAAGTCCATAGATCCATAGCTATCAAAGTAATTTTTTTAAAGACAACAAATAATAAGCTACTTGCATGGCACCGATGCACTCAAAGAGGCAGCTAACAGTCATTCCCTGAGTCCAAACATTTGTTTCTGTGGTTTTATTTTCCAAGGGATGCAGATCACAAGCTGCTTGCGTATGCGTGGACCAATGAACGGTGCCCACGTGGCTATCCAGGGTTGGTAGCCCAGGCCCTACTTAAGGGCTGGGAGAGGTTTTGCCCTGGGAGAGAAGAGAGAGAAAAGATCACGATTCTGTAACAAGGTCCTGAATAAACTGCTAGCGAGAAGCGCTCCGGTGTCGAGTCATCCTTGCTGGTCGAGGCGGTCACGACAAAGGGATAAAATGATACATGGGAAATACCACAGCTCAGTTATTACTACGCTTATAGAAAATTGAAAAAAAACTCTACATATATTACCTAAACAAGTAAGTGCCTTTTATATATCTTAGTTAAGAAGACGTAGTCACCAATCAAAATAACTTTTCAATGTGGAAATCTAAAGAAGAAACAGGGAAAATTGTAAGATCTTAACTATACTGACTATTGATATGAATGTATGAAAACTGAATAAGAAATACAATATTTACTATCCATAAATGCATCTGACAAAAAATAAATGACTGTTTACCGTGGGCCAATGCCAATCTAACAATTGAGAAGGCTAAAGCATTCTAAATTAATGAAGCAATCAAACAAGCAATCATCAATAAATGCATAGAAGAACAACACTGATAAGCATGTTGCATTCACAATAGGTCTTACCTTTCCTAGGACACAAACCAAGGGTTAAGTCAATAAGCTGTTCTGTTTCAGAAGTACTCTGGGGGCCCTGATGAATAACTTGGAGCAAGGTTTTCTATGACACTTATTTTTTCTTACGTAATGCAAGAGCATTTGGGGGATAACTATTCCTCCATGATGTATAATTACATGCTAATGTATGCATGATAAGTATTTCAGTTACGATAATATGACAATATGCCTCCTTTTGCCTTTTCCAAGCATCTTTAGTGCACTCTCTTCTTTTCCCTTCCTCTGTTTCTTCCATTTTCATCCCTAATTCTTCTGCTGTGGCACCTGCATTTTACTACCTCTTTCTAGAGCTAGAGCTCTATTCAAGCTTCCTCCACCAAATTCCTTTTTTTTTTCTATTTTGACCCAATTATTTTCCTTGAGGATACTCTCAAGGTATATCCTCAGAGCTAGTGTCCACAAGTAAAAGAGAAAACATGGCATTTGATTTAGGAAACCAAATTACCTCACTGAGCATTGTTTTTCTATTTTTATCTAGTTACCCGCGGATTTTTGACTTGAATGGCAATAAGGGACAGCTATGCCAGTGGGTACATGATAGTTTTGGGTCATACAATGCCTGTTTCTTACAACGAATCCCTTACCTCTGTCTGCAATGAATTCAGAGCCATTGTATGTGGGGATGTGATACCAATGTCCATTTATACCTGAGCATTTCAAAGGGTCCTATGGATCACACATTTGACCAGTTGTGGAACTCTGTGCTCATCATATCTACTGCAAACAGATGTTCTCTGCTGAGGGTTGAAAGATTAATTTATGATGAATAATCTGTGGGTATGATTATACGTCTTTGGGTGTTTGCTTTCTGCTGTAATGATTTATTAGAGTTGTGGTATTAGGCTCACCTCTGTGGAGCATGGCATGTCTATTCACAGTTAACTGGCAAAAATACTGGTGTCAGGTATAGATTTAACTTGTGCAGTAAAACTATGGTCAATGAAAAATTGATTAGACATTCTCACATTATTTCTTCCTTAATGAGCCAGTGGACATGTCTCTCCATTCACTCTATCTTTATCTCACAGGTGGATAGGGCAAGTGATTCCTTTTCCTCCTCCAACCTGATCATACAAAATTATGATACATTAAAGGTTGCCGGTAGAGATTAAGCTTCCAGGTGACCTCTGTCCAATTTCACCATGTTCTATGACCCAAGTATGTAGAGGAAAAAGAAGGAAAATTCCTTACAGCAGAGTACTAGAGAGAAACCAAGAGCACTGGCATAGCCTGAAATGATTAGGGATAAATCAAACCCCATTGTCTAACAGCTCTGACACAGGGAGCCTGTGTCTGACACTGTATTTTATTTATTAACAGCTTGACTCTATTGGGGGAATTATTAACCCAATCTAAAGGAACTCCAACTAAACTCTCAATTTATATCAATGTATAGATTCAAGGACTATCCTAGAGTAAAAGTTTTCTTTATGATAGTTTTGAAAGGTATTTAGGATTAATTATCCCTCTCACTATTCTATGCTCTATCCTCTCCTTCCATCTGTTGTGGAATATTATTTTAAGATTTGTTATATTTGTTTATGCTCTCATAAATTTGTTTAATGATGCAAAGATGTGTTGCATTCTTTTATGTTGCATTTGTTTAATTGTGTGAAGCTGTGTTACTTTGCCTGTCTAAATCATCTGATTAAAAAAAAAGAGCTGAATGGCCATTAGCAAGGCAGGAGAAAAGACAGGCAGGGTTGACAGGCACAGAGAATACATAAAGGTAAAATCTGTAAGGAAGAAGAAAGAAAGAGAAAAGAAACTGCCAGCCACTGAGTCACACAGCTATCTCTAGAGTAGGAGTAAAAGCTAGATAACAGAAAGAAGAGGAGAAAGCCTGGAGGGAAAACGGGCAATGGGATAATTTAAGGTAAGTAAATATAGCTAGAAATAAGGCAAGCTAGGGCTGGGCATTGCTAAGTAATAATATGGATCTGTGTGAATTTATTGGTGATCTCAGTGGCTAGGCCACCAAAAAGCAAAGAGCCAATAGAGAAAAAACAGCATGCATACATCCTGCCACTAACCTACTTCCTGTACCTTGATTCTTCTTTATTCCATTATAGAAGGTTATTATACTTACCATCCTTTTAATTGCTATTCCAATAGACACTGACTAATTTCCTGACACCAAATGAAGCACACACACAAACACACACACACACACACACACACACACACACACACACACATACACACATCTGAGATTTCAAGGATAACTCCTGAAATGAGATTAAAATATATGGTGATTCTACATATGGGTCAAGGTTAATTCACTCAGAATGAGTGTTTCCAGATCTTTCCAATTTTTTTTAATAGAATATGTCTTGTTACTCTCTCTTCCATGATGGAACCTAATGTAAAAGGAGCTGCTGATTTGGGGCCAACAGTGAAGAACATGTGCAAAGAATGTATATTCCTTGCATAATTTCTCCCATTTGTATGCTGAAGCCTAATCTTCTAATACTTTCTGAAATGCACTGAATGCCTGCCTTCAATGCTGGGAGACATGACTGTGGAGGGCAGGCATACACAAAGTGTTATGTCAACATAAGAACAGTTTGAAATTTAAAATTCCTCATGTTGTTGAAAGTACTGGCTATCTTGTTCATTTTGGTTTAAAATGAAAAATATTGTCTGTGCTTTTTATTTTCGGTGTTAATTATATGAGATTATGAACTACAAACTTTATCATTTCTGGACACTCCATGACCAGTGTGCCCCTTATGTCTTCCAGGTAATATAGAGGCTAATGGAGAATAGTGATTGGAGGTAGTGTAGCTAGGGTTTTCTGAGCCCATCTTGGAGATACTCCAATAGTCCAAGAATAATTAAATGTGCAGTTTCTTGGAAATTTACCTTGAGTTACATGAACAAACCACATAATAAATCTCATAAGGCACCACTGACACACTGACAAAAAAAAGGAGCAATGCTATTAAGTGTGGTGTGGTGAGCCAATGAATATAATTGTGATTACTAAACCAAAGAATGGGTAAGAGGCTGCTTACATGAGCTTGGGGAAATTTTATATAGCTTATTATCATCAAACAAAGCCTAAATCTCTTTTTCCTTATCTTTCTTCTTTAGCATTAATTAATTAAAGATTAATACCAGAATGGGGTAAAGTATTGTGAAACTTTTCCATTATCCACAACACACAGGATGGGGGAAAATCTGTGAGGAATAGAGAGAAAAAAAAACATTTTTTTCTAACATCTTTTCAGAGACCTGTACACTTGACCAAACTCTTACAATATGAAAAAAATAGAAGTTCCCCTTTTGGTGATAGTACTGATGTGGCAAACCCATGACAGGAAGGAGTTGCTCTCAGAATGAAAACCTATCTGATAGTTCTGCAAAACATGGTCAGACTGCCCAAGGAGCACAAGAAAGAACCACAGCAAGACTCATCATGACCCTGATGCTCAGAATGCTGTTGTGTATTGGTAAGACGTGAAGAGGGAGAGTAGACACTCATGTCTTTAGGGAACCCTCCTCCAGAGCCAGGTCTGATTCCATACAGTAATAGGGGGGTCCAGCCTGTTTCTCAAATTGGAAAAAGCTCTCAATAGGAATTTTCTTCCAGGTCTGAGTGTGGAACACAAGATTACAGTACTGGAAGGTAAGTGACTTCATCCCAGGATTTTAATTTTTACTCTGGAGACCAGAAATTACTTTAGCTCTTCTCTGAGTCAACTCTTCACAATGCAGGTGGATAAAAGTGTTTATGGACAATGCTATAATGTCTGTGAGTGCTCTATGCTAAGACCTGGGGTTTGAGAGGGAACTGTACAGACACTCAACTTTTGATTTCCTTGCAGGAACCCTCCCAAAGCCCATCATCTGGGCAGAGCCACACTCTGTGATTGCCAAATATACACCTGTGACGATTTGGTGCCAGGGTCTTTGGGAGGCTGTGGAGTACCTTTTATATAAAGAGGGAAGCACAGATCCTTGGGACAGACAGCTTCCTCTGGAACGTGAGAACAAGGCTAAGTTCCACATTGAACACATGTCCAATGACTTTGCAGGGATATACAAGTGTTACTATAGGAGCCCTGCTGGCTTGTCAGAGCACAGTGACACACTGGTGCTGGTACTAACAGGTGAGTAGTGACTAATGGTTCCAGCACAGGCTCTCCCCTCAGAAAGAGTTCTGCTCTCAAGGGGAACTGCCCTCAGAGCCCAAGCCTGCAGGGCAATGTGGGTAGCTTGAGTTCATTTCACACACTTTCCCTTGTATCCTAGGAGCCTATGTTCAACCAAGCCTCTCTGTCATGCCCAGCTCTGCTGTGACTTCAGGAGAGTCAATAACCATGCAGTGTAGCTCATCACTGGGATTTGACAGATTCATTCTGATCCAGGAAGGAATATATAACCTCTCATGGACACTGAACTCACAGCAACATGACAAGATGTCATTCCAGGCCCATTTTGTTCTGGGCTCGGTGACAGCCAACCACAATGGGACATTCAGATGCTATGGCTATTTTAAAAATGTTCCCCAAATATGGTCAACATCAAGTAATCCCCTTGACATTCTTGTTTCAGGTAAGTATCCTTGACCCATGTTTTCTTAATGCATGTGGTCACTAGGATATCTTCTCTTAGAAGGGCTCTAGCCTAATATAAGACCAAGGAAACCATAAGAAAATGAATTGGGCAAACAAGTATATTTATTCATGATAGAGTGCTGTAGGGATTCCTGCTGCCAGTAGCCTTTAAGTTACCCGCCCACTTGGGCATGGCCTCTCATACTATATATGCTTAAGTAAAGTGAGGTAAAGTGCGGGTCTGGACTCTCTTCCAGCTCCGGGATTCGGTTGTTGTTCCCCGTTCCAGCAGAGTCTATCCTTAAATAAACAACCCTCTATTATTCTCAAAAAAAAAAAAAAAAAAGAAAGAAAGAAAGGATACTCTTCAGTCCAAAGTCTTTTACCTCTCATAGTGGAAAAACCATCAGCATTGACCTAAATTAACTGGGCCTAATGCATCTCTCTGAGCCTTTATTTCCTCATCTATAAACTACCTGAGTAGTGAAAACAGTTCCATCTTTTTTAATTGTGAGGAAGGAGGCTGTGAGTGTAGTGGGCATTCAGTAGGTGCTTGGGCAAACAATATCTTTCCCTCATGTGTGATGTCAGTTTTGCCTAAGGACTGGAAAGGTACCAGACAGTTCTTTTTTTTTTTATTGAAAAAAATTTCTGCCTCCTCCCCGCCTCCCATTTCTCCCCGCCCCCCTCCTCTCTCCTTCCCCTTACTCTTCTCCTCCTCCCTCTCCACTCCTTACACCCTCCCTCTCCAGGCCAAAGAGCAGTCAGGGTTCTCTGCCCTGTGGGAAGTCCAAGGTCCTCCCCCCTCCATCCAGGTCTAGGAAGGTGAGCATCCAAACAGACTAGGCTCCCACAAAGCCAGAACATGCAGTAGGATCATAACCCAGTGCCATCGTCCTTGGCTTCTCATCAGCCCTCATTGTCTGCAATGTTCAGAGAGCCCAGTTTTATCCCATGCTTTTTCAGTCCCACAAGGAGAAGAAATACACCAAGACCAGAAAGTTCTTATCGGAGTTTTGGTGACCCTATTCCTGCTTTTCTTCCTCCTGCTTCTTCTCATCTTCTTAAGATACCAGTGTAAAGGCAAAAAGAACTCAGGTAAGACATAGGTGTATTGGATATTCTGAGTAGAGACAACAGATCTCCAGATCTGTGCCAATTTCAAATATTTTTCAAGATTTTCCACATCCTACATTATTTGTATGCTTATAGCATGTGTTTTTAACATTTCTTTTCTTCTTCTAAAAGTTTCTATTGGTGGAACCTTCTCTTTCTCCTAGCTGATGCTTTTTCATTTCATGCAGTCCAAGAAGAGACCAACTTGCAACTTCTTGCAGGGGATCCACAGTCCACACTCAGAGATAGACTCCTTCAGAAGAGGTAACTCCTGCCCAGAGAGCCAGCCTCCTACCTGCCTTATGTCTCACTGCTACCTGATAATCCCTGTCTCCACAGATCCAATCCGGATACTGACAACAAGGAAGAAAACCTGTGTGAGAATAACATATTTTTGAGGAGGGAGATGCTCTAGATCTCAGCCTCATAAGACTTATGGGGAAAGTCTGGGGTCAACATTCTGAAGGAACAAACCTTCACAGTGGACCTACAGACTTGACCACAACTCCCTGCTTCTCTGTCTCTTTTTGAGACAAGGCGTTGGGTCTGGGTAACTGAGGGAATCCCAGAGTCTGGGATTAAGAGATGACTCCTTTGTTCTGATATAACAGATGCTTCTGTGAAGGACACACAACCTGAGGAGAGAGTAGAGCTGGATAGTTGGGTGAGACTGCTATCCCATTCACAGTGATAAGAACTTATTGCCCAGTTTGGTCCAGCACTCATTTCTGCCAGTAACAGCTATAGCTAATGTCTCCATTATGGAAGAATTTGCCTCTATGAACTATGCTCTCTCCTTCTTGGTTTCATTATGACTATATGACCCTTTTGTTATGTTTCCTTTCTGGATGTGTGTCATGTCTGTTGCTTAGCATATGCCTAAAGACTCAAAATGGCACATGAGTCACAGACTCCTCATTCCCTTAGATCCTTGTATAATCATTTACAAGGAGCTTCTAATGTTTTAGCTCATGGACAATTTTACTAGAGTTTAAAAGAAAACAACAGCACAGGTAACCTATAAATCTCAGCTGCTGCCTGGAGGAAGGGTAGAGGAAATTGGAGAAGTTGGGGAAAAGCCATGTTGGAGCAGAGCCAGAATGAAGACGAACTATGTGATTGCTGGCAGCCACAACGCAAGCAGGGAAGCTTTATAGAAAGACTAAAGAATCCCAAAGTGTTGGGGGAAAGCATGTTTAGAACAGATATACAAAGAAATAATAGAAATGTTATGCAATAACTCAGAAAATAGGCACATTTGCAAAATGCATGATTGCAACACTACTACACAGAGCATACTACTACACAGAGCATAATTTTGTTCTTGCCTTTCATAAGGACTGCAAACACAGCAAGGGACAGACGCCTTCACCCACTCTAAGTTCACCTCAAGGCTAGGAAATGAGATGTGTATATCTGAAGAATGTTAGCAGTATGATGTGCTATTAGGGAAAAAGAAGCAGAGAAAATGGTTATGATATGTAAGGCACACAGGGTCTGTGTAATCACAAGGAATGACATCTTCTGAGAAGACACTTGAAGATGTCTGCAGATCATCTAATAAATGAGCACACGTCAGCAAAATTATAGCAGATTCAAAAGTCTTCAGACTCAGACAGAAAGATGAGTATATAATAATATATTTTCTAATAATATGTTAGAAAATAGGAGTCTGTGTGAGGATAAAAAGGACAGAACTAGGGAAAGGATATTTGTAGACTCCCCAAGGACTATGAAAGCTCCTGGGGACCCCATTAGTTATGATACAAAGACTTAAATTTCTAAAGATCTCTGTCTGAAGGAGCTCCTGAATGGGACCAGGAGTCACTTTATCTATCCCTTTATCTCCTTGCTGCAGAACCCACAGGGTCAAGATCCCCAGCGAATTGTTTATGCCCAAGTGAAACCCTCCAGACATCAGAAAGCAGGACTTACCTCTCCTTCTCCACTGTCAAGAAAAGAGTTGGACATGAAGAACAATCAATCAGGAGAGAACAGAGAAGTTGACCCACAGGTGGGTCCTGCTCATTTCAGTTTCCTATATTGCTAATGCCAAGCACATACCGTCATTCAGCTCTGTCCCACTCTAGGCTACTACCTCTAAGGAACCCCAGGATGTGGTGTATGCCCAGTTATGCAGCAGGACACCAGAATAGAACAACAGCTGAGACCAGGAAGCAGCCAGCAATGGAAGAAGTCTCTGATCCCATATTCCATGGACAGAAACTAGGGGACATATGAGATACTATTTGTCCCCAGTGGAGTTCATCTAATGAATGCCAGCCATCATACATACCTCATGTATTATCAGCAGGTTCTCAGAACTTTGGGGACTCCTTGATTCTTTGATCAGAAACAATTATTGTCCTTACATTTTGTACATAAAGCCAAAGCCTTCTCAATAAACAAAGTAATGACAAATAAAGTGAGAAAATGTTACGTGAATGATAATTTAACCAGAACACATTGATTTTTGAAACTGGAACTTTCAGAATCATGAATAGTTGCATCTTCAAAATCAATGGTCTCATCTATTATAATGACAATACAGAATGTTAAATAAACAAGCTGTACCAAATGAAGGCATATGTGAGGAAATGGTGATGTAAGAGAAGCATTGACTTGCATGATGGCCAGTCATCCTATATAATCAGGAGGCACCACAAATAGAAGGCCTTATCTATCACTTTTGGAGTCCTTGGGTTTATTCCTTGAATAGAGAGACAGAAACAGAGACAAAATGAGAGACAGCAGCAGAGAGATAGGAGATAGGAGAGAGTGTGTGGTGCTGCTTATATACTTTTAGATGTGTGGTGTTCGACTGGAGTCTGATCAACTTACCAAGACTCGCGTCCTTAAAGAAAACTGACTTTTCCCCTATCAGAAGTTATCAATTGCCAAAAGCTTCTCAGGCATGGACTCCATGTCCACCTCCCTCTCCATGTTGGGATTTGATCTGGCTTGAGGTTGTACAGGTCTTTTTCATATTGTTATAACCACTGTGCATTCAAACCTATAGCTGTCCTGCCATGTCTGGAAAATACTATTTTCTTGTAGTCATCCACTGCCTTTGTCTCTTATATCTCTCTCTTCTTCTGCAATGATCCATGAATTGTGGGTTGAGGGGGTGTGACATTTCTACCCCAAGTAGGTATCAAATCCAAGCAGCTCACTGTCTAGATGTAAGGCTTGTCTCCATGCTGGAATACTGACTGACTTCACCTTGTGTGGGTCTTCTGCCAGCAACTCACAGATACTGTGACTTAAAGGGTGAAATGTTCCTGTTTCAACCAATAGACAACAGACACTATTTCACATCACAAAACACTGGCAGTCCTGTAGCTCTCACAATCATCCCTTGTCTTCCACAATGTCATATGAGCCTTCTGAAGAGGAACAGGTGATAGAAACATTCTATTTAGGGATAAGGATCCCACATTTATTTATTTTCTGCACTTCGACCAGTTTTAAATCTATTTATTCACTCACCACTGTGTGTGGCATAAAGAAAATTCTGTCATGAGACATGAGAGTTGCACTCCTCTAAAGGTATAAGGATAAGTATTTAGAAGGTATATTAGTATTATGTCCTTTTAGCAAATAGTGTTAAGGCCAATGGCATTCCAGACACAAGTTCTTGGACCAATTATAATAACATGTTTGGGTTTTCTTCTGTGGAGCAGGCCTCAAATCCAGTTAGAAATCTGTTGATTAACCCCTATAACATCAATGCCACTATTTTGCCAACAGACATATTTCACCAGGGCAGTCATTACTGTAGTTTTCAGACTTTGTATATATTTCTCATGACTGCCTCAAACAGCCTACACCACATCTCCTGGCTTTATGAAACCTAACCAAGAGAGAGGATGCTTCCCGGTTGGTACCTGCTGGACGTCTTTATGCCTCATGTTCAAAGTGTGTGCTGTCTTCAGCAATAAGATCTTACCATTAATTCTGAAGTGCGATCAAGAAAAATGAAAATAGCCTGTACTGTTTGGGGGGACTCTCTTGTTCTCCTTGAGCAATAACTAGATAGAGAGTATCCCACCTCTGGCACTGGGCTTTACTGTTGAGTAGCCTATGGCTTCTGAGAGGAGAATTTCACCTTTGCACATTGTTCCTGGGGCCGCCCCCAACCATTCAAAGGTCCTGAGAATAAGTAAGATGTTAGTGAGAAAAAGAGTGAGTCAGGCATGATGGTTGGGAGAAACTTGTAGCTCTGACTGATTAGCAATCCGGTTGCTTTTTTTATTTACACAGATTCACAGACTCATGATATTTTTCAAAAGATACACATTACATCATTTTGTCACCAGACATGTGTTTTATTTTCTACAACAGTCCAGGGTTTAAAGTTAAATTACAATTAGTTTGTAGAACAAAAATTACTTTCATCAAAGTCCCATAACTCTATTTCAAAAAATTTGTAGACTGTTTTTGTTAGGACAAGAATATTTAATATATAACAGCCTGTTTTCAGACTGGCAGCACTTACAGTTTCAAAGACCTAGGCACATAGAAAATCCCTGAGTCAGTTCAGGTGAATCATCTTGCTTTGCATATCTACTGCTCTAGGGCATGCCCAGTATAACTCCCTATTTAATGTGATATTTATTCAGCAAACTCTGAGCATAATGTAAGAAGGGGCCTCTGATCTGTTGCCAAATTTCCTGGTTAGTTGGAGCTTATCAGTCTCTTTAAGTTTACATTATACTAATTATCCTGTTCAAGTTTGCTTAATGGCAGATGTTCCAAGAAGATCCTGAAGATATGGCCTTATTGAGAAAGTTTCTAGCATCTTCATTTTTATTACAGTCTCCAAGACATAAGGATGTTTTCTGAATAAGGTCAGATAAAATTGTCTCCCTAAAAGCAGGACCGGTATGAATTTAGGACTTTCCTCAAGAAACTCAGACAGAATTTTCTCAGGGAAAGACATTAAATAAATTATAATGTCGAAAACCTCCAAACATGCAACATGCAGAGACCAAAAGCAAAAGTGAGAAACAACATGACATAATAATTTTTGGCTTAGCTGTGCTGGAATTGTGTCAAAGAGATATGCTACCTTCATGACTCTCGTCATTGCCAGGGGACATGGTTGTATCCGTAGGCCAAGCCTGTTTAAACTTCATAGATATGTGAGACACACACATATTATAAAATAAGTTTCCATATAGCTTTATCAAAATATTTTGAAGTTTTGATATAATTACATCATTTTGTCATTCCCTTTCTTCCCTAAAACCCTCCCTTATATTCCTCCATCCTCTCTTTCAAATCCATGACTATTTATTGAGTACTTTTTATTGTATACATAAATATATATTGTATACATATATATTGCAAAATATAACCTGCTCAATCCATATAATCCTGTGCTTGTATACATGATTTCAGACCTGACCATTAGGGATCAGATAACTAATTGGTGTGCTTTTCCCCAGAGAAGACTATTTCTCACATTTTTAGCATTTCTCAGTTACCAATAGTTCTTTTTAAATGTGTGTATGTGGGCATGAGGCCTCATGAGTTCTTCCCCAACCACTTTGGCATATATACTGGTGTTATACATGTTAGAGTAATGTTTAGGAAATCATGCTAGTATGACTTTATGGGTTTATCTTCTGACATTACTAGGAAGCAAAATTTCACAGAAAACTCACTTGTTTTCTTGCTCTTATAATATTTACACCTCCACCACTTCTGCAACACTCCATGAATCTTAGGTTCACATAAAACAATCAAAATTAGATTCTTGGTGTTAGATCTCTCCAGAACATAAATTAAGTACCAGATGGCTCCTAACCTAATGCATCTGACCAGGAGAGCATCCCAGAGACCACAGGGCCAATGAAACATCTGAGGACAGATGACAAATTTGTCAAAAGGAGCCATTGCAAATGGAAGAGTAAACCAAGGACTTGGGGAGACATCTAGATTCTAACTCATCAAGACAAGACTTGGGTCAATAGCAAGGATACAGTATCACTGGCCCCAACATGCTTCTCTTACATTACAGACTTTATTGTATGTTAATTTTCAGCCTGTCAGCAAGAACCCAAATGTGTTTTTTTCAGATATGTTAAAAGTCACACCTGTAGTAGGAAACAGGATGATAGTGTTTTTGCAATGCTTGAGGACTGTTTTCATCTTTTAGGGCCAGTTTTTTTTTTCAGTAAAAGATGATATGTAAATGTTTAGTCACATGAATGGGGGACATTTTGTTTGGACTAGTCATCCAACTGATCAGTCTAAATGCTATAATACAGACTTTAGCACAAGTAAGTCCCCTTTAGAGAGCACTGACAATGGAAATAATAGTCATATATAGATGAAAAAGGTGGTATCTGGTATGTTGATAACTAAAGTTGACATTTTGTACCCAGAATGATGCTAGCCATTACCAATGGTTTAGATTATAAACTCTGGCTTCATATGGTGCATTGTTGTTACCTATTTGATCATACTGTGTGAAAATATGTCGCTGTTTTATTTTGATTGGTTTAATAAAGAGCTGAATGTCCAACCCCAAAATGGTGAACCTAACGGTGAATACAAACTTTGTTGGGAGAAGGAACATCGTCCTCTAGAATTGCTTTCAGCTGTCATGGTGAAAAAGGAAGCGAAAAGAGGCTGTGGGTAACAACAATGAAACAGTGTTTTTGAGAAACAGTAGGGAAGTTCCATCTACAAACTCATAGTTATGACACCATGCTCAAGACCAGTACATGCTTAAGACCAGACAAAATTCCATCAGGCATATGGAGGTTGACATGAAGGTTCAGCCCTAGTCAAGAAGTTATAGACAATTGATAGCTGCTGGGAGAGGAACAATCAATTTTAAGAGTGTTGCTACTGGTAAGTTTACCATTCTCCATGGAAGGCCACATATCCAACAATATATGGTCTTCACAAATTGAAATCCATGGATATGGATTTTAAAAAAGAGAACACAAAGTTGTGTCAAAATAGGTATCAGTTGTGTCAATATGAGTATAGGAAGGACCCAAGAAGAGTTGGGGCAGGGGTAAATATGATCAAATAACATTGTATGAAATTCCCAGAGAAGTAATATAAATAAAATACAAAGAATCTAGGTTGTAGGTGGCCATGTTTTCTATATTTTCTTATATGTAATTCTGAGAATAAATATTATATGTGCCATACATGGAATGAGTGAAGGTAAAGAGGAAGCTTCCTGAATACTCTTGACTCTCTTACTATCTGAATTATAATGTGATTTATGCTTTATCTAGATGTTCTAATGGCTTCAGAAGATAAAATCTAGCACAATCAGTCCTTCATGTTTCCTTTAGCACTGATAGGGATATGTAGTGATGCAAATCCTTTGTCATCCTGTTACTTACCTGAACCTTGGCATATGGGAACACCATTAATCCTCGATTTTTATCTCTTACAGCTTTCATGTTAATAATTGTTACTTCATGTGTCTTGTTCATAAGTGCTCTATCTTATCAGCCTTATTCCAGGGGCAGATAAAGGCAGGACTCAAGGTTAAGTGTCTTTTTATTTTTATTTTTATTTTTTTCTTTTTATTTTTTTTAATTGAGAATAAGAAAAAAAAAG